TTGATGATTCTGGAATGACTTATGGCTTCACTTAAGGATTGATTCTCCTTTTTTGTACAAAGTTTGAAGTTTGAAGTGTGGGTGAATGCACCATTTAGGTTATTAAAAAAAACCCATATACTGTCATGGCTGCTGATGTTTAAACAGGTAAAAGAAGGTGCTAAATAAACTGTGAAAGACTTCTACGCACACATATCACTAGCAATATAAGGCAGTTATACACTCTCCCCTACTCCTTATCCACTCTTGCTATTACTTAATGACACTTCCTTTATGTCATTAGTCACATGCAATTCACCAAAATACTTCTCACTTTACTTAATACTTTCGTCTCATCTCTCTCTGTCTCTCCCTCATTCCAGATGCAATGATAGACACTGCAGTTGATGGTACATTGAAGGTGTGGTTGATTCACACTATTATTGAGATAAAGGATTTGACTGATCTGTTTGAAGAGAAGTCCAGGTTCTAGGTCCATCAAGTCCTCTCTCATTGACTTCGGAGTCAATTGCTGATTTCTCATTAGCTCTTGTTGTTCACAGAGACTCGTGGCATGTAATGATGATATTTATGTACAGTATACCACAAAAAAAGGCTAAGTAGGTACTGCGCAGTTACTTTTGTACTTCGTTCACACTGCGATTGAATTGTGTTGACGGTTTGCTTAGTGTACTCTGCGCATGTGCAGCGAGACAGTAGTGAATTGGGAGGTGTGGTTCAATTACCTTTTAATTACGTAAGAGTACGGTGAGAGTACAGTAGTAACCATAGTAACTATAAGCAACCAGCAGCTGGCTTGAGAAAGATTCGAGGAGACATCGAAGGAGACGGTGCTAGCTAAAGCCCAAAGAATCAGAGCCCATCATCATAGTACGAGGCTTGTGGAGAGTGATAGAGAAACGGAAAGAGTAAGAGTCACAGTACACCATGAGCCTGAGGCCAGACATTAAATCTCTGCAAATTAAATAGCGCCGTAATCTCTCACCTGTGTACCACTATAGATCTTACTTCTTTGTTTAAAGCGCCTTATTATCTTGTTTTCTTCAAAGAAGACCGCTCTTTGGGCGTTGCAAAAGCTAACAATATCATTATATTGGATAAGTGAAGACTTGTTGGAGCCTGGAACAGAGTGCTACGTAACATCCAAGAAAAATGTATTTGATGGCATTGTGGTGACTCATTGTAAGTCATAAAAACTGCAATATGTACAGTTATTATTTTCTTATAAATTTCATTACTTGATGTACATGTAGGGACTGAAATTGATGTGGATACAGTTGGCGAGAAGATCATTAATAAGCTTCATACTCCGGAGATGTTGAAGGGATTATTAAGTGATGAGTCAGATTCTGATGATGTGACAACTGATTGCACTAGTGCTAGCGACTGATATTGATAAGAGAAATGCTAAGAGGAAAAGGACTGATAGTAAATTACAATGCTATGTTAATGTGCATGTACGGTTATGATATATTTTAGGTGGTAAGCCAGCTAAGAAATGTATGATGAAAAAGCCTCTCAAGAAAACTAATAGACAGTGTAAGACCAGATCTAATGTGCATGAAGCTAAAGATGGTACTGCTGGAGTAGAATTGTTATTTTTTAAATTAATTTCCTGTATAGAGCAAAAATATACCATTAATGTTCTTGCAGTCTCACAAAATACAAGTAGCACAAGCAGTGCTGTTGTATCTCATGATCCAGACTGTTCTAATGTACCTAATGATCCAGACTGTTCCCCTATCAGCAGCGCTGTTGTACCAAATGGCCCCAGCTCCCCTACTACATGTACGTCTAGCACTCTGAGTACTACAATTACTTGTAGTTCAACTAAAGTCTCCAATAAACTTATAGGGGAAATTTTATTTAGTGATGATCAAGGTTTGATAAAGCATTCTACATGTACATTTTAAGAATTTATTTTCAATTATTTAGAGCTGCTAAATTCCCTGTGCACCAGGAATGACAGACTGAAGAGCAAAATCTGTGTTATTTTCCCATATAACATCAATATTCTCATACTTGGTTAGTGCATAATAACTTCATACTTCTACTATTCTTTGCTTATTCTATAGCCACCTAATATTCAACAGTTTCATCAACAGGCGTTATTTCCTCCTTTCAATCAACCCCAACCTCCTTTCAACCCTGCTGTTTCTATACCTCAAGATTTCTACTCTCCAGTCACTCAACAGCAATCACTTGCTCCCATCACTCAACAGCAGTCACTTGCTCCAATAACTCAACAGCAATCACTTGCTCATATCACTCAACAGCAGTCACTTGCTGCAATGACTCAACAGCAATCACTTGCTCCCATCACTCAACAGCAGTCACTGGATAGTGTCACTCAAGAGCAATCACTGGCTCCAATCACTCAAGCGTTACATGTACTTGCAATCCCTTCTTCAATAACGCCACATCCACTCCCTCCATCAATAACTTCACCTCCATTCTCTCATTCTATTACTCATACTCCTGCAAGTACACCACCTTTGTCTGATGGGTTGCTTGATCCAGATGAGGTCATTGCTAATTATCGTAAATTGCATTCCATATCAAACACAGGCAGATTAGCAGTGAGGCTTGCTTCTGTGTCATACTTTGGTAAAAATGTGTTGAAAAGATTAACTGTCTATGGCCTGAAAGGTAATGCTTCATTGCCAGGTAATAAAGTATGGGCCCTGAAGAAGAAACGTTGCAATTTATATCCACAGTAGGTTGACACTCCAGCTGAGTTTGAGCCTGTGTGGACAAAGTATGTGAATGCAATTAATCACCACGCTAGTGCCTTACACAAGAAGGATAAAGGTGGTGTGACACTAGAACTTAATTGAACTGTGACAAAGAGATTAATTCAACCAATTGAATTGATATTGAGATGACAATAAGATTAAATTTTGTAAAATTAATAATTAATTGAGTGGGTGTGCTCAAACTTAAGTCTCAGTGTGAAGTGTAAGTTCTCAAAGTAAGTGGGGGTAAGGCAATATTAACTAATATTAATATTAATCTAATAAATATTAACATTACTTTCACCATGCAATTATTGTTACTCTGTGTCATAAACTCTATTAGTTACTATTAATGCATGTACATGTACTTAGTATCCCCTCTACTATAGCTGCTGTTACAATTATCTACATTTACATTATTAAGTTACTATTGTAGAGTAACAGAGAACAAGGGTGTAAACTACATGTACATACTGTATATTACATATACATGTACCGGGTATAATGTTTATCTGACATTAGTTACTAAAAGTGACAATAAATCAGTATCTTGTTGGTCCACCATTTGCCTCTATCTCTTTAGGAACTACTTTCTTGAGGTGCCAGATGTATTTTTGACTTTGGAACATCAACTGTCCCCCAAAATTTCAAAATTCCGGATACTAATTCTGATTTTGTCTTGGGCTTCACAACTCTGCAAAAATACTCTTTTAGCACAGGTTCTCTATGGGGTTTAAGTCCAGACACTCAGCTGGTGTCTTCCACCAAGTAACATAGTTTCTCTCCAGCCAATTTTTCGCTATTTTTGATGCATGCTTAGGGTCATTATCATGCATGAATCGAGGATTGTTGTCGATATTAGTTACGTACGGTATAAGGCCACCAGTGAGAACTTCTATGAAGCCAGCAGCATTCATTTTACCATCAAATATTACCATAGGAGTTTTCCCTTTGCAACTGATTCCTGCCCGGACATGAACTTTTACTTGGTGCTTAGCTCTAATAATAAATACTTATAACCATTAAAAGTTACAAATTTATTATACTGCTACATATACATACAATGTACTGTATATATGACATGCTGTACATTTAAATAAAATACATAATACAATGATTAATGTGCATGTAAGTGACATACATGTACATGAACATACATGTATACATGTACATTAAAAATAGCTAACCGTGGCTTTGGTCTTGCTCAGAGGCGGATGCAGGATTTCACTGCAAGTAGGGCAAAGGTGTGGCTAAAAGTGGGAGTGGTCAAAAAATAGGTGTGGTTATGACCACACACACATGCCTTGCTCTTGAGTTTAAGCCTGCCATGACTTCTTTTTCAGCATTTTGGGGAAAACTTCAGTTGAGAAAGGCTCTGAACTACTCAATGAAGAGTTACCCTGCCATTCTTATGTTCAAAAGGAGAAAATTCAGCACCTAAAAACCTCTTTCAATATAGAGCATCTGTAGCTATAGGTGATTTAGCTGTTGAATGAGTCCTAGCTGTCTTTGATGATAAACAATGAAGCTGCTACTGGAGGAGTTAGTTATTCTAGCTGCAGGTTACTGTAGATTGTCTTCCTGATGTGACCATAGATATGGATCTATAAAGCTTACTGTGAATAAACCATGCAGTAGCAGCTTATTCTCTACTAATTATGACTCAGTGGAGCAAAATAATGTAGTTTTTATTATTAAAATTAGTTTAATCATGTAATAACTACTAAATAACTATTAAATAACTGCTAATTATGATGATGTAATCTTCCTGTAAGAAATTTTAGCAAGGCATTGCCCTCATTGCCTGCCCCTGCAGCTGCCTATGCTCTTGCTGGAGTTCCTTCCTTTCGACAACAGAAACGACGACATTCCAGCATCACACTATACTCATCAGTCCATAGGACATTTAGAAAGCCACCATCACTGCATGCTTCTTGTACATGCTCTTGTGCCCAGCGAAGTCTGTTCCCCTTGTTCACCTCTCTAATCAGCTGGCAGTAAGCGCTGCCATGAAAGGTCCATCCTACTTTCTCTCTTGATCGTAGAGTGGTCATTAAATTAAGGGGATGACCATTGTCAGCAAGGATTCTTTGAAACTGAATTGCTGTTGTTTCATTGTCAAGCTGCATTAGATTCTCAACTATTATTAATACATCATGAGTAATTTTAGTAGGACATCCAGATCTTGCATATTTAGATCACATTGAGTATAAGTGATCATAATTGACAAAAGGTACCTTATGGCGGATAGAAAAATTGATCTTTGTAGTCTAAAAAATTCAAATTCCTGAGGTCAATTTATCACAAAATTACTTCAGAGGATGGAAACAGTTACTATGTAACTTTCAGAAACAATAGATGTTTAACAGAGCACTCACAGGTTGATATTTTTATTAAAATCATGAATTTAAAAATCCACCATAAGGTATCTTTTGTCAATTATGGTCACATATATGGAATCAAAATTTGTCAACAAACCTACTTTACGAGCAATGTTCCCAGGTTCACGATACTTTCTTAATAGCCCACAAACTGACGAACATTAACTTTCAACCCTTCATCCTTCATTATTTCAACAATCCCTGTAGACCTATAACCTAATGCTACTATACAATGTACATGTACATTGTATATAGCCTTATACACTTGCAATATAAATGCACTATTCTTCGTTGCTTGTAGACAATAATTCTCCTATCACACAAGACTAAAGCCTCAACAATAATATCTTCACAGGTACCAAGAAGAAGTCTCAAGCAGTGAAAGATACGTGCCAAAAATAAGAACAGTAACTATAGTGATTGTACATCATGTGAAAAAAGAAAAACGAAGCATGAGCGAAGAGAAGCGAAGCACAAGCGAAGAGAAGCAAAGAATGAGCGAAGAGAAGTGAAGCACAGGGTAACAGTAGCAAAGGATTGTTATTACTGTACTGTAACTTTGCAATGCCTTGCTACTGCTACCGTAGTACTGTTTGCTACTGTACTCTACTTAGCTTTTTTTTGTGATACACTGTAGCTACATGAACATGTATGTTGTACAATGTAGATAGTTTGGAGTGGTTTAAATTTTTATAAAGGCTGTTTGATGTTTTACCATGCCCCGATCTCAAGTAAAAATGTTGGTTTATGTCGGTAGTTTGTTAAAATTTTACTTGCCTAAATTATCTACTTGGCACCTATGTACATGTACATGTACATGCAGAATGTGTAGTTCTTCATTGTAATTTTACTACCTGTACTTTTGCTTTTTTCTAATTTGCATGTACATTTATGTACACTTGTACATGTACATGTACCTACATACGTGCACGTACCTGTACACAGTTTTTCATTTTCTGTTTCTACATGCATATTATAGTTGTAATCTAATTATTAATTAATCTTCAATTTTATTTGATACAACTGTGTAACATACTGCATACTGTGTGTACATGTAGATATATGATATAAAGCAGTTGCTAATTCTTCCTTGTGAGCTGGGAGTAACTAAATGGAACGATAATTGGACTCGCCACGCTTGCGTAGGCGGCTACTAAGCAGTTGGGTTGTCATTCTGTCTGTCTGTCTGTCTGTCATTCTGTCACGAAAATTCCTGTTAATTCCTAGTCAATATCTTTTTTACTGAGCTCTCCTGAGTTATAATTCTTTTTAAGCTTTGAGAAAATGATAGTTTATTTAGCTCTGTTGTATTTTCATAGCAATCCGTGGTAGCAAAAGCTGAATATTTTCAAGAATAGACCACTTTTCCTAGCCAAATCTTTGTGTTTCACTCTATTTGGTCAAGATTAGCATTGATAGGTAGAGAAAAGTACCTAGATTAAAAAATGTGGGGATTTTCTAATCTCTTTTTTGTTTGCGAGTTACAGTTTCTCAAAGTTTGTGATTTAGCCTCTTCGAAAAATTTTCAGGCAGCACTGGGGAAAGCAAGAGCAACCAAACTATCTCAGTCTCTTTTAAATATCTACGCAAATTTCTTGTGCTTACTCTTTCTTTGAATAGAGCTTCAGATACTAAAATAAATTTCAGCTTTTCTTCTTTCTCCTACCCACGTGCCATGTTTATCACTGCTAGGCCGGTGCTGACCACACCTATAATTTATTTTATGGATCAGTGCAGTAATTGCATTGTTGCACTTTGTCAAAATCTATTATCCTTTTTTTAAATATCAAGTTGCTTATATATATAATATCATGATGGGGACAATACAAGTAACACATTATCCCTCAGGTGAATCTCAGCGGGCGAGTCCACGCACCATGGTGCTTCATTCCTCTCATGCAACATGGTGTTACTATTGGCATTCAATGGAACAGGTTATTAAACTAGCAGCTTAGTAAGCTAGTAATAATAATAATAATAATTTTAATAATAAATAATAATAATAATAAGTAAAGATTTATTTTATTTATTTTTAGTACTCTTCCTAAAATGATTGTTGATGGTTAGTTATTAATA